TCTTGTCTCTCTGAGATTCAGTAAGCTTAATAAATAATAATCATTTTTTCAGAGTGTTTTGAGAGCTAAATGAGATAATGCATGCAAAATATTTGCCAGCTGATTGGTTGGAGTAGTACTTGACATTTTCAGCAGAACATGCGTGATAATTTATCTTTGTTGTTTCTAGAATTCTAAAGAAGATTGATAAAGATTCATTGAAGTTAATTTCAGAAAGATTCCTTGCCTCTCGTTAATAATTCCTTCTTTCTATGTTTTTGCCTGCACAGAGTAAGGTAACACATGAAAGTATACAATACTCATAAAATACTTGACTTGGTGTGTGACAAATCGGAAGCAGTCTTTCTCCTTGGCCAACTGAAAGCTTTTAGAAATAAAAATATCAGAGACTGCTCCAATTATACTTACTAAAATCATTTAATTTTTCTGAAGTTAACTTCACCCAATAACATGTGCCTTTCAGAATTTTTGCAAGAATGAATAAGATAGTGCATGAAGTTCATTGCTATTATCAATATTGTTTATATTTACCTGACATTATACTATCCCCTGAATTTCTACTGATGGACAAATTTAAAGTATGAGAAAGACTTTACACATTTGCTGAACTTAACTCTCCAGGGTTTAAGTAACTTCAGCTATTAACACAGACTAGCAGTTCTCAAACTCAGTGGTATCAGGACCACTTTATACTCTTTAGAATAATTGAAGATCCCAAAAAGCTTTTGTTTATGTGGATTATATCTACTGATACTTGCTGTATTTACAATTAAACCTGAGAAATGTTTAAACTATTTATGAACGATTTCCCTTTAAATAACAAGAACGAACCCTGGTAATGTTAACGTTAAGTAACATTTTGATGAAAACTATGTTTTACAGTTTTGAACACCTCTCCCGTGTTTAGTTTTATGGAAAGACAGTTGAATTCTCATACATGTAGCTGCATTCAACTTGTGATGCTTTGCTTGGATTAAAGTTTATGAAGAAAACGCAGTTTTAAAGACAAAGAGTTGGAAAAAGGAAACCTAGCAAACCCTCTCAAAGAATCTCAGAGGCCCCCAAGGTCCTTGAACCACACTTTGAGAACTGCTGACACATATCTTTAGTTTTTTTTTTTTTTTTTTAAGTATGGAATAAGATAATCTGTGCAATATGTGTTGTTATTAATGCTGCTTCGTTTGTTGCTATTATTTATGATTTCCAGATATCATCAAAAAAAACCTTGAGTTTCTTCTTGTTTTGTTGACTGCATTCATGGTTGCTTTAAAAAAAAAGAAAGAAAGAAAAAGAAAATTAATAATGGCATAAATTTGGTAAAGCGGTTAAGCCACTTTGCCAAAAAATATCTGTATTACAGAGTCTTTCACCAAATTGAGATAATACAGTTTACATGTATAATATCAGTGATCTGCATGGCTCCGTGCCTGGAACATAAGAGAGACTCAAGAAAAGGCAGCTTTAGAATCATTCTTTACTCCATGTACATGACATTACACACATAGATGCCACGGAAAAAAACTGGACTTACATATCCAATCACAGCTTCAGCTCATCTGGAATCCATCTTTTGCTATCCTTTGACACAGGCCTATTTTGAGAGCCCAGAGTCCCTTATGAAAGTGAATAAATCTTTTAACAAACACACTAATCCCGCTGCAGAGCTGGGCTCTGATCTCATGGTCAGTGTGTAAGGCCCCTCCCCCAGAGACTTCACGTGTCGCGAGAAGACTGTGCAGCCTTTCCTGTAGGGAGTTGAATCACCAGTCCAGCAGTTGTTTCCTGAGTGTAGGTTTCTCAGCCCTTATCAGGATTCCTCCAGAGCGAATGTGAATTCCCTAGATCAAGTCTCTAGCCTCAAGCTCTAGTTCCCAAGATGCTGGGGGAAAGGGGTGCGAGAGGGGAGAGGTTGGAAGGGGAGCAGTTCCCCAAACCCCCTCTGGTCTTGCTATAGGATCCTAAGAAAATATGAGTTTTCCCCTCCCAGCACTTTGTCAGAAAAGGGCTTTCTTTCCTACAGTTATATCAAAGTGGTGAGTGTTTGTACTCAGGACCCCGAGTCTTTTGCTCTAGAAGTAATCACTTCCAAGCCTAGCGTGGCCAGTAAGTCTTGGAGAACTTTATGATCTGGGATCTAATGGCGATTTCATTGCCTGCTTCAGAAAGGGCCTTTATGTCTTCTTTTTCTCTTCTTAACTTTTAAAATATTACTAAACTTTTGTTATGGAGGCTTTCAAGATTGCAAAAGTAGGTAGCATTATATAATAGAGACTCATGTATTCATCATCCAGCTCCCAAATTTATCAATTTATGGACTGTCTGGTTTCACTCCTATCTACATTTCCCTTCCATATTATTTTGAAATAAATTCCAGACATCACAATACTTCATACATATTTCAGTATGCATATCTAAAAATACAAGAACTTTTTTTTTCTACATAGCCACCATACCAACATCTCTCTGAAAGATTAATGAACAGTAATGATTTCATATCATGGAAAGGCCAGTCATGGTTCAAAATTTCCAGCTGGGTCATGAACGCTTTTCAATGTTTGTTGGCATCGAGATTCCAAGAAGGGCCACATATTGTAATTGCTTGATAGGTATTTTAAGACTGTCTTAATCTGCATGTTCTTCCTCTAGTTTTTTTTCTCTTGCAAATTATGTTTTGAAGAAGTCCTTCCCTTTTTTTTCTTACTTCCCTATTCACTCCTCTAACTCCAGAAAACTTCCTGCGACCTAACCCTTCGCTAAAACATTTCATCGAAGATAAGCCACTACTGACTTCCTTCGGGCACACTTGATCTACCCTGTTTCTAAAGACTCCCTTCTTCTTTATGAGTTTCCGAATAAAGGTTCCAACGTTAAGAGCTGGCAACCTGCGTACCTGCCTTTCCGTAACTCAAGAAATGTAACCTGTGTGGTTCTCTCGTGTAGTCTGTAGTCCCAAATGCCTGTTGAAATTCCTCCATGCATTTCATCACACTTGGTGACAAAGAGCCTCGTCACATCTATTACTGCTTCTCACACCATCACTTGGTCTCTTTCTCTGGGGAAACAAAAGGCCAGTCATTTCAGAAATTCCGCATCTCAGGAAGAGGGCAGACAGATCACTTTCCAAGTGCGCTCTCTTCCTCGTGTCTTCCCAGGGAGTGAACACCAGTCAACGTCCTCAGGGGGCTCTAGCAGAGAGCCGTTGACCATTTTTCACTTTTGGTCATCCAGCCAAAAGTCTCCACCTGATGCAGGCTGTTGGGACAGCTTGTACCAAGGGATTTTCGGTTTTCAGATCCGTCACAGTTCTGTATGTGTTCCGTAAAGCCAGCAACAATCTCTAGGAGTGCACTTCTGTCTCCCCTCACAGCTCATAATGTGAATATCTACCAGCCCGGGATGCCTAATAATAATCTCAGATAGGTTCCTAAGAGTGCAATCTGACTTTTCCCAGGCTTCAACGTCCTGGGGGGACACGAGAGAGAATAAATTAACATTAAAACTTGAACTTCAGGGGCACCTGGGTGGCTCAGTCGATTAAGCCTCCGACTTAGGCTCAGGTCATGATGTCACAGTCGGTGAGTTCAAGCCCCGCATCGGGCTCTGTGCTGAGACCTCAGAGCCTGGAGCCTGCTTCGGATTCTGTGTCTCCCTCTCCCTGTGCCCCTACCCTGCTTGCTCTCTCTCTCTCTTTCTCAGAAATAAATAAATATTAAAAAAAAAAACAAAAACCCTTGAACTTCATTTGCAAGTTATCCCTACTTATTGATGCAGGATCTCTTCAAGATCTACCAGAGAGATTTCTGAAAATTTCCAAGCTTTTCCCTTAGACGGAGGCACAAGATCCCTTTCCACTCCCACCTCCTTGTTGATGTTTCCTACCCCTGAGCCTGTTTATTCATGGAGCTGCTTACCTACAAGGGCTACCTCTCAGTATTCTTAAAAAACAAACAAAAAATGCTCGAAATTCTAGACAGAAGTGAGACTACTGCGTCTCTCCCAATTCTGCATTTTACTCTGCCTCTGGCCCTTGAAATGATGCTGCTTATGCCCAGCGACTCACAGAAACTCTTGCTGAAAAGAGAGCCCTCTCAGTTTCTGCATATAGATCATTTGTGCATAGCGGTCCGATCTCGTCCCGGCAGCACGGCTGGGTGCCATCCTGTTCTCTGCATCTCAAATAACCAGAGCTCCCCAGGCTCTGGCTCCACAGGACTCACACCTAAAATTTCCTCTTCTTACCCTCGTTCCTCAGGAAAGGCGGGAGTGAGCTAAAAATTCATCTCAAACACAGGGGGGGCCTCGGTGGCTCCGTCGGTTAAGCATCCAACTCTCCATTTTGGCTCAAGCCATGGTCTCACCGTTGGTGGGTTCAAGCCCCTCATCGGGCTCTGCGCTGGCAGCACGGAGCCTGCTTGAGATTCTCTCTGTCTTTCTGCTTGGCCCCTCCCCTGCTTTCTCTCTCAAAACTAAATAAACATTTTTAAAAAGAGCTCATCTCAAACTCAGCCCGGCCAACCCTGATAGGCTGTGATGAGTGTCATAGGCGGTATGCGCATCATTTTTATTGCATGTGGAAGATGACATGCCAACAACACGAACCTCTGAATTTATCAATGACATTTGAGTATAGAAGTAACGCATCCATCCACTCAACGATTGTTGAGTGCCCGCTGTGCGCCAGCGCAGTTCTGGGAGCTGGAAATGAAAGGAAGCAGACACGATGCACTCTTACACACAAGCAACAATGGTAATTCCTTGCCTCCCGCACAGAAATGTGGGGGGAAGGCATTCCCCACAGGAGAGAAGCTGCCATTTCCTGAGGCCCGCCTGCTTCTCTTTCACGTGCCTATCAACTCAGGCCATGAATAGCTTTCAACAAAGAATCAGCTCGGAATTTTCTCCGGCAAAGTGCGATGGGATGGATGTCTGCAGCTGTACAAACCCGCGCAGCTCTCCAGTGCTCTGTAACAAGACCTTCCCTTCTTCTTCTGTTCCTCCAGGGGTATCAGTTCCTATCCCAGTGATCGGACTGAGAGACGAAGAGAAAGTGTTCGTCAACAACACGACCTGCGTGCTGAACGACCCAAACTTCGTCCTTATCGGGTCCTTCGTCGCCTTCTTCATCCCGTTGACGATCATGGTGATTACGTATTGCCTGACGATCCACGTCCTCCGCCGCCAAGCCCTGATGTTACTGCACGGCCACGTCGAGGAACCGCCCGGAATAAGCCTGGACTGTCTCAAGTGCTGCAAGAGGAACCCCCCCGAGGAAGAGAGCGCTCCCAACCCCAACCAGGACCCGAACCCGCGCCGCAGGAAGAAGAAAGAGCGCCGTCCCCGGGGCACCATGCAAGCCATCAACAACGAACGGAAAGCGTCGAAAGTCCTTGGCATTGTTTTCTTTGTGTTTCTGGTCATGTGGTGCCCGTTCTTCATCACCAATATTCTGTCGGTTCTGTGTGGGAAGGCCTGTAATCAGAAGCTCATGGAGAAGCTTCTGAATGTGTTTGTCTGGATTGGCTATGTGTGTTCGGGCATTAATCCCCTGGTGTACACGCTTTTCAACAAAATTTACCGAAGGGCTTTCTCTAACTATTTGCGCTGCAATTATAAGGCAGAGAAGAAGCCTCCGGTCAGACAGATCCCGAGGGTCGCGGCCACTGCTTTGTCTGGGAGGGAGCTTAACGTTAACATTTACCGGCACACCAACGAACCGGTGGTTAAGAAAGCGGATGATCGGGAGCCCGGTATAGAAATGCAGGTAGAGAACTTGGAGCTGCCGGTTAACTCCTCCAATGTGATTAGTGAAAGGATCAGCAGTGTGTGATTAGCAGTGCGGAAGCGGCAGAGGCCTTTCCTGCGGGAAAGCTACCAACGTAGGAAAAGGTTCTCTAATTCTTCTGTCGGTCATACCTAATGTAAATATCGTCGTCCGATTTAAAAAAAAAAAAAAGTGTTTTTGTATATAGCTTTGCAACTTTACAATCATGCATACAATAGTGAGATTTAGGGTTCTATATTTACTGCTTATAACAGATGGAGAATAACTTATTTTGATTATTCGATGCGTAAAACGTTGATGTTTCTTCTTTCCCTCCTTCTTTCCTTCCCTCCTTCCCCCGCCCCCCTCTCTCTGTCTCTCTCTCTCGCCCACTCACTTTTGTGCATAAGGAAAGGTGGATGTTCATCTCAGGTGGCGTTTGCGTGAGACCAGAATGATGTACAGGGACAGTGGTTACACTTCAGCCACACCAAAATTGACAATTCGCTGGACTCTTTTCCCGGGTTAACAGTAAATATACGCTTTAAACTCTTGCTCTGCTCATCTACACACATCAACGTAGTAAGATAGGTTCTGCCTTCTGATGACCTTATCACACCTATTCGCGACGTCAAAGGTAGAACTTAGCCTCGTTGTCACATACAGGGGCAAAATTTGACATTGTCAGAATGTCGTGTTGGTATTTTACCGCAATGTCCGTCCCCAAACATAGTGGTCTTTTAACATAGCAGCTGGATGACCAGGACTACGGAAGTGGAAGGCTGATACGAGATATATACACCAATAGCTTTTCACTTCTCAAGGACAATGTTCAAATTCTGATTACAATGCCAAGCAAACTGGAATTAACGTCTTCATTCTGGTCCTTAGTAAATACCTAATTCTGTGATGAAACTGGGGAATGAGATCCCAGAGTTATTTCCCAATCCAGGATTCAACGTCGATTGGGTTTTGATCTCCGAATCCTGGAAATTCGTGTGCTACACACAAAGTGAAATTTGCATTTTGAGCCTTATTAAAGTATTTTCATAATTACGGTACCTCTGTCTATAGGACCCAATTTAGCAGTCCATTTTTGAGTAAAACTTGCGCAGGAAGAGCATAGGTGACCAAAACCTTGGAAGTTTTACTTGATTAAGGACTACAGAATTAGGCCCTTAGAATGTGAAAAAAAAAAAAAAAAAAAAAAAGTAATTACAAAACAAGCTTGTACTGAACTCTGGGAAAAACAGAAATAGAGTTTCCATTCGGATTTTAAACAAAATGTATCTCATTTTCAGATCCTTCCAAGCTCTCGTGCAGGAAGAGGCTGCAGCTAATTTGTGAAAGTGGAAAGCTCTTCATTGTCCTGCAGTTGTGTAGCAGAGGTTTAAATTTTTGTTAAAATATAGCGTTGTGTCACAATAAGTGTTGGCCATCGTTTCCATTCGTGGGCCTGCTGCTCTAAGAATTCAGCGCCATTTAACTTGTGGGCCTGCTGCTCTAAGAATTCAGCGCCATTTAACTTGTTTGCTAACCGTGAGAGGTTTTCAAGCACTGCTAACGTCAGACCATTAAGTCTATGCTGTGTTCCGAGTATACAAGCGTTTCCAGTGACTATCTTTCCATGTGTGTCCATTTCACACAACTGTGGATCAATTTCCCGAAGAATGCATGATGCCATCTCTGATGCCTGACAGTTACTTACGCGCCTTAGCGTGTGCTTCTCGGTTGGTGAAAGCAGAATCTGAATTTCAAAAACCCCTGGTCGATGTTCTCAACACACAGCATAGATAAATCCAACCGTCTGCCACCAGGGCAGTGGGAGAGCTGCTGTATTCGAGGAAACTCATACAGTCTCTACTCGATGAGCAACACTGCCGAATATCCGTCAATAGCTTGAGCATGCCCAAATCTGACATGAAAGTCAAGTCTACCTGCCTGTTCTAGCTCTGTCGAACCGCATGTTAAACCAATTATAAGAAACTGAACGAGACGATCTAATTCTTACTGACACGAAAATGTCTGAAGACACCCAGCATGCATGAAGCACGAGTTCTGCACATACACATGGTGTCCCTCATGTATGCTGTGTATGTTGCATGAATCCATCGATTTGTGTTGAGGCAGGACAGAGTAGGTGATCTTAACAGGACTGGAGAAAATCCTTCAGCAGTCCTTAACACGACTGCGCATTCAGATCTGAAGTATTGTGACTATTGGAGAAAATTGGAAACATCTGATTTCTTAACTAGCAGGGCAAGCTCGTAGCACATGTTTTACAAAGAAAAAAAAATACAAACCACAGATTTTCAAAAGCACTAGCAATAAGTTGAATGATAATAGCTTATAGCACATTTGTTAATAATCCTTATGTCATCGAGTAGTAGTACTTCATAGTACCCAACACAGTCATTATTCTCAAATCGTGTGCTGTTCGTAAGTTCTGTGCAGTTTGGTATGAAACAAATATGCTCATTTGGATATAAATCTTACAGTTCAGTGTTAAATCTACAAACTTTTGTAAATGTTTTAAAAAAAACAACACTCCATGTGATAAATGTAAACGTGGTGAATTTGCTGTCAAACAAATCATTTTGATGTACTATATTCTATATGTATACCTGTTTAAGACACGTGCAACAGACTGCCTTATATTATTTCCTGTAAATCTTCTCCTTTGTCAAATGGTACTTTTTGTGAGTGGTTGCCAAGTGTTGTCTTACTCGTGGCTCCTGTATGTTATCCATTCCAGGTTTTTGTGATACTTCCTATTAATTTATTAAATTTATTAAATGTTGGCTAGCTTGTCCCGTGTCTTTTTCCCCCCCTGCGCCTTTTGAAGGGGAAGATAGGAGGACATGAAACGACGCTTCATGTCGTTTGACAATTAAATCATGTCCTAAAAAAATAAGTTCAAAAAGACAAACAGAACCAGAAAACATCACTCTTCTGATTAATTCTGCATGTACCCAAAGACGGCAAAACCAGAGGAAAGACAAGCGGCACAAACAACAGGGGCGCCTGGGTGGCTCAGTCGGTTAAGCGCCTGACTTTGGCTCAGGTCACGATCTCGCGGTTTGTGGGTTTCGAGCCCCCCGTCGGGCTCAGAGCCTGGAACCTGCTTCAGATTCTGTGTCTCCCTCCGTCTCTCTGCCCTTCCTCTGCTCCCACTCTGTCTCTCTCTCAAAAATGAACATTAAAAAAGCATTTTTTAAAAAAGAGGTGCAAACAACAAAACAATACTAACAAACACCACTGATGCTTCGTGAGCGGAATAACTGTGCTCCCAAGTTATCCTCTCTTCCTCAACCCGAGGAGTGGCCTGGGATGGCTCATATACTCTTTGCAATAAGTTTCATTACTATTTTATTGCCACCAGACTCTAAGCTCCCCAAGAACAGAAAGAACCATGTCTGTCTCTTCTTTTAAAGTTTATGTATTTATTTTGAGAAAGAGAGAGAGCATGAGTGGGGAAGGGGCAGAGAGAGAGAGAGACAGACACAGAGAAACAGAGAGGGAGAGGGAGAATCCCAAGCAGGCCACACATCAGCACAGAGCCCGACACGGGACTCCAGCCCCATGAACTGTGGGATCATGGCCTGAGCCAAAACCAAGAGTCGGATGCTTAACCGACTGAGCCACCCAGGCACCTTAGGACCATGTCTAGCTCGTTGATGGTTTTATCCCCAATACTTAGCAGCTACTCTACATTCAACAGCTAAGCTTTGAGCATGATCAGTACTTGTGGGCACTGCGTTATCTATTCCTGTTGCCAAAATGGGCCTCACAACTCTTGGGTCTCCAGTCGTGTAGCACCTGAATTTCCCTCTATTCCACGTGGCTTTGGATGCCTCTCGAATCAGGGTCACTGTGCTAAGCCACTCTGTTCCCTCACACTGAGAACCAGGGATGACAACATACATTGGCCTTTTCTTTCAACATTTATACCTTCCTGATGATGAGTGAGCCTAGATGATCCTGGCCTGACTTCAGTTCCCAGAGAAAAAAGCAGGAACACCTCATTCCTTTGCAATAAAGACTAGGTTGATGCCTAAGAGTGCGTCCAGACATAAAAGTTGGACCGTCACTTGAAACAACAGGGTCACTGCTGCCCACGGCCAGAAATACATTTTAACCCGGAAGCTAGGGGACTACCCTTCCCCAAAAGTGAGGTAATGGGGAGAGGCTAGAATTTCTGATGGCACAGAACAGGAGTTGTTACTACTGTGTGGAACGGAGGGTGGGCAGGGGAAGACTGAAGCACCTGGTCCCATAGCACTGGAAGGTTTCACGGTCTGAGAAGAGAAAGATGCTTCTTGCCATCAATTACCAGTATGTTTCTCCTTGCTGAGGAAACGCACAGTTTCCACAGTTTCTCAGCTCCCAACTGGGCCAGTGCCTTCTCCAAGGTTGAGGCCCATTTCTCCCCGTATATTCTTGCCAGACATAGGCCACCATATCACCTAGGCAACAGAATATGCTAGAAAGAGGTATTTTTATAGGCAATGTCAGCAGAAGTGGGTGGCATCATAGTGGCTCTCAAATGTTATGTGACCCATAGCATACTTATGAACATAAATAGCTCTAAGAGATAGGTTGGGCCCCCTGGGATGCACACCCTGAAATGGAGAGGAGTGTGTGCGATGCTTGCTGGGAAATGATCTTGGGATCCACACACATGCCAGGCCATTCTTTTCAACAGAGGCAACTCTCAAGGAAGGCCTATAGCTAAAAGCTGTCAGTCCACAATCATCCTAACACTGGGATCTTGGCAGGGTAGCATAGTATCCGTCACAAATAGTATATTTACGGGATGAAAAAGATTCATCACCTGGTTCAGTACCTATATAAATAACATGAAAGGGCCCGGCTTTCACTTGAGCCAACATGCAGGCAAATGAAGGTGAAAAGAAACACAGGCATACCTTGGGGATATTGCGGGTACATTTCCAGACCATCACAATAAAGTGAATATTGCAATGAAGTGAGTCAAACGAATTGTATAGTTTCCTAGTGCAATAAAAGTTATGTTTCCATGATAACGTAGTCTATTAAGGTGCAATAACATAATGTCTAAAAAAAACAATGCACATGTCTTCGTTTCAAAAATATTTTATTGCTGGAGCGCCTGGGTGGCTCAGTCAGTTAAGCGTCCAACTTCGGCTCAAGTCATGATCTCACAGTTTGTGAGTTCGAGCCACACGTCACGTTCCGTGATGACAACTCAGAACCTGGAGCCTGCTTCGGATTCTGGGTCTCCCTCTTGCTCTGCCTCTCCCCCACCTGCATTCTGTTTCTCTCTCTCTCTCTCTCTCTCTCAAAAATAAATAAAGAGGGGCACCCGGGTGGCTCAGTCGGTTGAGCGTCTGACTTCTGTTCAGGTCATGATCTCACCATTCGTGGGCTGGAGCTCCACATCGGGCTCTGTGCTGACAGCTCAGAGCCTGGAGCCTACTTGGAGTTCTGCGTCTCCCTCTCTCTCTGCCCCTCCCCCACTCCCATTCTGTCTCTCTCTATCTCTCAAAAATAAAGAAACATTTAAAAAAATGTTTTAAAATCTAAATAAATAAATAATATTTTTATTGCTAAAAAAATGCTATCACCTGAGCTTTCAGTGAGTCATAATCACCGATCAAAGATTGCCATAACAAATAAAATCATTATGAAAACTTTGAAATATTGCAAGAATTGCCAAAATGTGACACCGAGACACGAAGTGAGCAAACGCTGTTGGAAAAATGGTGTTAATAAAAAAAAAAAAAAAGGCACTGATAGACTTACGTGACATGGGGTTACCACAGAGCCTTCAACTTGGAAAAAAATGCACTGTCTGCACAAGTCAGTAAAATGCAATAAAACAAGGCGTACCAGTAAATGTTTTTGTACGTGATTTCTCTTCTTACTGAAGGTATTCTCAATCAACAGCTCACTAAGATTCTTAGATTTCTGATTCCATCTGGACAGCCTCAACTAAGGTGCAACAAGAAACAACCCCAAAGTCTCAGCGGCTTAACAACGCAAATGCTCATTTTGTGCTCACACTCCGTGTTCAATATGGGTTGCCAGGAAACCTCTTTTCATCATCGTTACTCCAGAAAAAAAAGAAAAAAATTGTGTTAGATGCTACATCTTTACATGTGCTTCCATGTGGCAGAGGGAAGGGAAATTAGGGGACCGCTTTCTTCCATTAAAGCTAACCCTACCGGGAT